GAAACTTGCACAGGTCTCGTACGACCTCACCACAGCCATACTGTTATCATGCGTCAGCTCAAACTACGCAGGTAACAATTGGTCCCTCCTCAGGACACCGCTTTAGCTAACGCCCAAGCTGCAGCGAATCCACTGTTTTCCTCAGGACACTACATTACGTAGCAAATTATGTGCCTTGCCACTATCCACACTCCTCCATAGTTTAGCAGAATTGTAGCTGGGTTACATGACCAAGGTACATTTAGGCTGTTCTAAATTATTCACTCAGCCGACCAGCTGGGATACGTAACAATTGAATGGACTCTGTTGCACAGAATAGATGTCAGGGGAGTACACTCTTGTAGACACCCCTTGCGACTTGTCAAGCCGTCTGTATTGCTTTATCGTCATGTCGTTATCGGCATTAACACGTGTTGACCTGAGTGTCGAAACCGCATGCCTCGGTAGGCATCGTCTGTTCAGTTAGATCGCCTGCAGCTGCATGTGCCCCAGGTTAAAGCGGAAAGGTAGCGGAACTGAGCTAAGCACGCCATCAACCGTAGCCATGCAGGGTAAAACAAGAGCACGAAGCACAGTTTATCGGTCCACTACGAGGGGAACATGCCTCACATAACACGCACTATAAAACGTGGAATGACAAATTATTGATTGACCAGCGCTAGGATGGTCAGTAAAAGCACACTGCGGGTGAACTGGAATAATCAGTCGCCCACGCAAGTGAAAAATAGTCGCTATCCGCATCCGCGTTTGTCTTCACCTAAACAGGTTAACAGTTTGTGGTCATTTTGTAGCAGTCGTTGTGCCGATGGATTGTGACACGCGATATCAATCAAGCGCGATTCACTTCGGAAAGACTTTTTGTCGAAGCGACCCTTGCGCCGACATCTGAAGCAGTTGAACGTTCGGGTGGTAGTTTACATTATTGTCGAGACTGTTCCGCTGATCACCAAACACCTCAAAGACAGGACCTCGGCTCATTCCGAGTCCTTTGTTCTATGTCAGTTCGTTCGCATCTGCGGTGCTAAGTACTTAGGACACACGACCAGGTGTATATCTAAGTGGATAGCAGAACACTGGCTTGCATCGCAGCAACATGGCACCGTTAAGAATGTCCACAATTTTATCCTTGGACGTGTGATCAGTACTGGGAATCAGGTTCGGACAGAAACTGCATCTTAAGTAGTTTATTCTGAATCGAAACGCAGCCCCAAAGGACCTAGGAAGCACCTGTTCGCTGCTGCCGAAGCAATGGCAATCAGACTATCGTGACCGGAGTTATACAAGCAGATGACGTATGTGCAATCCCACCCTGTCTTAGCCGGAGCGATGGACTCCGTCCGTAGCTAACATTGACCGCGGCTGACGGCGCTATCTTGCCCAGCGTCCCAATTAAGTTTGCGTGTGTGTGCGCGTGTGCATGCGTGCGTGCGTAATTATGTGCATGAAGTCTATCACCTGATTAGATTGACTAACCCATGCATTGGATTTACTGGCCTTTCGATAGACTGTGACCCAACTAATCGTTCCCACAGCATTAGGTAACTTGCGTTGTCTCAGACAAATACATATACGTGCCTGAGGAGAATTAGCGAAAAGACATCTCCTTGCAAGCCTTCTTCTGACTGGATAGAATACACGATTTCTTTAGGAAAATCAAGGGGGTAAGACATATTGCAGAATACAAGAGCAAAGATTTGTTGCACACCCCTAACCGAATCGAGTCAAGCTCATTCCTGTCCAGAATTGAGCGCAGCTTCATTCGGTCAGCTAGCGTTGTACTTTAGCCTTAATAACATTCCTCTTCATTTGACTGCAACCAATCAATAACTTGACTTGGGTTCAGGTTAGGATTACCCCAATCTCGTACATTGCTTCTTTGATTGTGCAAAGTTTCAGCCTATCTGCTACTCGGAATGTCCAAATAATAACACTGATGTGGTGTATGACATCACAGACTACGACATCCTAGTACACCTGATCAGTACCACAAGCTGGTCATTACTTTCAGAATATTCTCCGGAAATCGCCTGGTTAGACTTTATCAGAACGTTCGATGGAAAACTCGAAGGTGTTTCAGAACCAGTGGACTGCCGTGGGCTGTTTGGTTCGCCGAGCTTGACTAAATAGTCGCATACGTTTTGCAACCATGCGAGATGGCATCGTCATTGCGGTGATGCTCGATGGCAATATCACTGATTGAATAGTCCATCCATGATAGATTGGCATGTGACCTTTGAAAGTGGCGTTTTCCATATGCGCTCCGTGATGTTTGACAGGCTTCCGCCACGGCCAAAGCAGTCGCTCGAGTTGTTCTCTCTATCACATTTCGGGCTCTGCTTTGCAAGTCAATGGAGATCTTCCTTTCTGAGTTTTTTGTATATAGGGTTGATGTCAATGCGCATGTTGCTAGAATTATTAGCGAATAACCAAGCTTCGAAGAGCTCCCTTTCTGTGTCCCCACTTGGGCAAGAATCTCGGTTCTGTTCCAGCCGAAGCTATGTCCCTCCTCATCCACATGCGCTGAGACCAGTGACGATGCATAGTGCTTCCTGCAGGCCTTTCGATCTTATTGTATGCTGGTCGATACTTTTTTTCTGTATGTCCTATATAGTTCTTTACATAGTTATTGCAATTATTTGGTACACGACGTTTGTTCTTTCATGTTCTTCCCGTTTATCCTTTGAGTTTGATAGGGTTTTTCTCAAAGTAGTGGTTGGCTTGTGGGCAACTATGATATGGTGTTGTTTTAGGTTTTGAGCCGTCATTTCAGGTATGTTCTTCATTTACGGCAAAACGATCCTATTACTTACCTTTGACATCGGTTAGTTATTTGTGGGTTTGTGCAGATGATAAATTTAAAGGAGTTCGCTTGAATATGTCGACCGCTGGAGACGTGGGTATAGCTACGAACATGGTAACACCCAGTAGCTTACACTTGTAACGACGCCCTTCTGAAAATAGGCAAGATCGAACCCAATTGCTCAGACTACATGGAGAATGACTCAAAAGTTGCAGTATTTCTGATAAGGAACGTAGAGATATCAGCTTGTCAATCTACCATTATGTGTCCAGTGATGTACAGTACGCATTGGGAATGTCAGAACTCCGTTCGTCCGCGAAGGACATCCATTAAGTCGTTTCGATGATGGAGGAATATCAAATGAGTTTTATTGACCTTCCTCTGCAGATCTCGAGAACTGGAGTGTGAAGATAAAGTAGACAAATCGAATGTGATGTTTCGCAGGGCATAGTCCTGAGGTCACGCTCACTTTTGTCATTCACTAAGGGTCTTGCTCAGAACATCGCTCTAAAAATCCTACATCTTGTGGACGATTCCAAGATATGGTGAAGAATTAAAATAAATACCGATAAGCAACTCTTCTAGCGTGATCTAGGCAAGACCCATCAATCGGTGGCTCCAATGCTATTCTAATGCAACATGAGTAAATGTTAAGTAACTTCTGTACTGACTTTGTACACTGTCTGCCGATTCGCAGTGACGGGTTGTTCCAAACTGAAGGCATCAAAATCTGGTAACAAGTGCAACTACTGAGATAATATTTTTGATAAAGAAATCTCTGGATTTTCTGTCAATGCTTTTAGTTGTCCTCTTGTCGACTATATAGGACAAAGTTGAGAGCCAGGGCTTAAGCACGTTCTCATTGTCTTTGAGCAACTTCAACACCGAGCTTCCGTGCACGCCATTGGAATGTGCAACCTACCATAGGAGTAGAGGTTGAAATGCTTGCGTGTACTCGGCCTACGCTATCGTCCATTGCGAGGCGACCTAAAAATATCCTACCTGGTCTTACTCAGCCTAAATCATGTGTGCTGCTGTCGGCTGGAGCTCAGCAGTAACACTGACCTAGTAATCCAGTTCTTGAGATTGTTGGCACAGTAAAGCCTTTGTAATGCCTCAGAACTTTCTTTTCTGTTTGTGGATATCATTCACAGAATCTATTCACTGAATCCTCTGTGTGCTCGTCAACAACAATAATGAAAAGACACTCAAACAACAGCAACTCACCCTTCTTATGTTGCTTCCGTTCCACTTCAGAGACAAAACCAGCGATCACCGGCTTGTACTATAAAACGACAGAGTGGTTTTGCTTATGTATGCTGCTTCTCACATAACTGATTTTATCCCCTTTTCGGTCGAATTACTATTGCACTAACGTGATGGGAAGTTGGAGTTGGACTGTAATCTCACTGTTCTACTATGAGCCCATCTGAGCTTCAGTCACCGGTAGACTGAACAGGTGTTACAAATGTACATTTAAATTAACGAAGCCCAAGTATTGCCAATACATCCGGCCGCGCTACCAGGTTGCCGACAACCCCACCTTCCTTGGTGAAACCGTAATGGACGAGTTATCGGGTGACCTGAGTGCCCGGTGTTCACATGATAGCACCCAGTATGAGTTCGATTTCGATCCCGTGACTGTCAGCAACGGAACTAGGGCTATCCAAAGTTCTACGTGCCCGGCTAGGGTAGCTTCAATAGATGTTCCTTATACTGTGAAGGGACTAGAAAGAGTACGGGCCTCAATGTTGTCATCACAAAACACAGTATTTTAAGTCATTGGGGTCGAGTTAATCGTCTTGAGCTTTCCCGCACAAAGGTCACACAACATTCACGACACTCTTATGCGAAGCGATCCTACGGTTAGAAAAATTACGAAGTTTAGTGTCTCCACTGCTCTCTTCCTTGAGTATGAAAACCTGTATGTTGTGATGTCACAAGTCTGGAGTTACGATGAAGAGTTAGGCTGAGTGCTGATTATGGGCAACACACTCGCTTACTGTGGCAGTTAATTGAGTCCCAATGAGGAATATACGAAGAACGGAATTTGCGCTTGTACTGGACTAGATTCGTAGGCATCTTCATGCATGTTCTAATTTCGTGTTCCTTTGAACTATCAATCTTGAACTAATCGCATCGAAATCATCACCCAGAGTGCCGACCCTATGTTGTCCCCATTGTCCACCACTGCCTGCAGGTAGGGTGTGACACCTCCACCGACAGACTCATGCTCGAGTGCTTACGTGCGCGTCCCGCCCCTGAACTTGCCACTGCTGCTGGACAAACAAGGATTCATCGCCCGAATTGGATGACAAAAGCCTGGAGCCCAACACAAGACGGTGACTTCATAAACGATATGCCCGAAAGACTGTGGGAAAGCGGCCATTTTGCTCACATCCCGGTAAGTATATTCGCTTCACACTCCTAGTGGTGATAGGACTTGCGTTGTTGGTCTGCAACTATTCTATTGTACTCCAGTCTGCTAATTAGCATGGCCGGCGTGGTATCATGAACTGCTCCTTTTGTTGCAAGTCACATGCGTCTACTTTTCAATATGTCTGCAATACGCTCCAAACTCGAACACTCTTCTCATTTACTGCAACTGATCACAGCTCCCATGGTGTTCAACTTACCACAACGTTCCTCTTGTAGTTAATCGGAGGGCTTGCAGTCGATGGTGGAGTTGTGTACGCGCTGGCGTCACTGTGCCGCCTCGATAATGCCATTGTCAAATCTGAACTGGAGCAAATTTTTACAAACGCTCAAAGACAAGATCCACCTCCTAGTCAAGTATTCCGAGGAATAACACACGATGTTCTCAAGCAAGCGTTCGATGAGATGGTCCGTCGCGACTTCGCATCGGTAAGTACCGCAAGCCTCATGTGTAGCGTTAATGGAGCCTACCAATTCACACCAGTATGGGTAGCTTAACGCTGGTTCCCCTTTCCCAGCACGCAGGCAGCTGGGTACACTTACCTAGTAGTCTCCCTCGGCATATCTTATATGTCAAGTGAGTTCCTGCAACGCACTGGCACCATGGTTCACACATTTAGGGTTTCAATGTTGACTAGACAACTTTTATTGTTTTTATTTATATCAGTAAGCAGTTGGTGAAAATAGGCTCTGCGTTGGGTTTTAGAAGAACGTAAATAAATTGTCGGAGATTACCACTAACTTGCACCACCCACCACACTACAGCATTTTTCCCAGGATGCAAGGTGCACCATTGTGCCGGCATTTAACTGTCGTCATTTTATGTCGTTTTCGCTTCAGGATCCAAATGCATTATCCGATGCACTCGTTACCGAGTATACCGACTGGTCCAACCTATCCGACCCGTACAAGCAATGGGTCATGTACCGGGAGGCCTGGACGGACCGCATGATTGGATCTGGCCTGGTAGAAACAATTCGGTTCCATTCCACGCCACAAGATACATCCATGCCTAATTATCCAAATGTCACACAGATGTTTGTCTTCGCCTACCGTGATGAACAAAACCCATGGTCTCGTGTACTCGGCTCATATGGTGGATCGGAGTTGCAGTATTTATTCGGACTGCCTCACTTGACGATTCACAAGTCACAAGAAGATTTAAGAAGAGAATGGCCCGATGATTTGGGACTGAAGCCTCCTGATGCTAATTATACGAACCTTGATCGGAACATGAGTGACTATATGATGTTCTTAGTATCAAACTTTGTCAAAAGCGCCAACGCAACGCCGACTCCCGTGAGGAATCTTACGTGGGACACTTACCGACCGGAGAACCGAACTTACATGTGGCTCAATCTGACATCAGGCTACTATCCGTCAAGAAGTCATAGGCCAGATTTGGAAGTGCTTGGAGATGGAGCCGGATTCGACTTACGTCAAAACTATCGAGTTTATCGACACGCATATTGGAACCGACTATATCCTATTCAATTGACTTGGCTTCCTAGGTTCACTCCCCCTCCCCCTACTCCGGCTTATTTGACAGATTATCGGACCTCTGCTATGTCGCTGATAGGTGTCTTCATCATTTTATTCATAATAACGATGGCTGTATCAGTTTTATTCCATCGAAAAAGACGCCAGTTGCATTTCTATCTGGGCCATTTTGATATGCATGGATTGGCAGTATCCGTGTCCGGATTTACCTGTCACTGTGGCTTCCACCGCGAAAGGCACAGGACCCTTGCACTTACAGAGTGACCATGGGTGGCTTACGCTGCGCTACTCACGGTCCCATCTACACACCCCAAATCCGGTGTAAACTCGAAGGAATAAGATGGGAGCCACGTTTCATCAACCGAACTAGCCCGCACTTTCTCAACAAGTAGTACAGAAGCATTCCGATCTAATTGGAAAATTGTGTACCAGACCTATACAAGGCGGTGGCTGGGCAGTAGCCCGTTCCACACAGGATGGAACCACACTTTGAACCCAATACCGACAAGAAAACAGTGCACTCCGTCCCCTCCAGTAACGACCAACTGTCTCCTAGAGCCAATATGGAAGAGTTGGGGGTTAATAGACAGGTAGGCACCTTGTCAACATTCACCACAGGCGCAGCCACACGGGGGAGCTCAATCAGCATCTAACCTTTGAAATTTAAGAATACTCACGACACAAGCAAACGTACCACATCCGCCGCCTTATTGGCCTGGATTAGTAAATCGAATGCATACGGACGCATCGCGCTTCTCCTCCAGGTGCCATAGTGCTTTCTCCTGCATCTGGACAACCACCCTCTTGATCAGCCCACGGAATTCACAACAAGAAACTTTGCCTTTGATTTCCAACACCTGAAAGTCACATAAGTTCGTGATAAACTCACCTTGTTCATGTCCTCGTAATGTTATTTGCGATTTGCCCCAGTGCCGCTTCACTGCACTAAGTTGGCCGTACAAAAGCTGTATGAGTATCCTTGTCGAATTCATTCGGTATACGCATAGACATGGATTGGCATCATCGGTGGCCCATGGCAATACGAATACGGCACATGCATGAACTGCCACAAACTGGATAGAGAAAAATTAACCTACATGAAAAACGGTACTACAAACATGCATGGGTCTGGTTTGTGGGTAAGGCTACCAGCCATTTTCGGCAAATGATGGGAAATCGTATGTACTTGAATAAGTACCCAATACGAACTATCGGTGTTATCTTTAACATTTAGAGGTGAACATAAATGACAGCCTCAAATCTTGGGCAGCAATATTTAAGCGGAACCGATATAGAGATGGGGAAGCAACTGCCATAGGTGCGATTACCAGGTAGAATGATGGATAAACAAGCGGTGCAGAAAAATGGTGTGTATTGAGGTGGTGCCTCCTATATATAAAGTCGAGCTTGCCGAGCTGATGGAGGAGATCGCACAGCGTGTGAATGCGATGAGGTGTTCACTTCAGGCTTTCCGTGTCATTGATCGCTGCTTAAGACTAGACACGTCCGATCATCTACTGCCCAAGATTTGTGTGAATTTTCAATGGACGTGTTTTGGCACAACCTTAAGCATTGACAAGTGGTAATATCACATAGTCGCCGCTTCTGGCGTCTTTGGCGAAACAACAACTAAGTCCTGCTGCCCAATGTCAAACATGCGGCTTTCAAAAACAGTTCTCACACTGTTTTGCAAATATCCAAGACGTAGTATGGCTGTCATCCGAGTACTCAGCCGTTTGTACATACCTCTGTGTACTCTGCTGGGACCATAAGGTATTTGGTAACGATCTGCATCCTACGTCTCAGGTCCAGCCATTAGGTGCTCTTAGAACCATTAATTGTCTCTATGCGCCGGATCTCTTCCAATGTAACATACGAAGACACTGACGTGCCATTGTCGTTGTCATTACCTTCTTCTTAGTCCACCCAGATGATTGGCCATGTACGATCCCAATTCTAGTAGGCACCTCTGTGCTTTCGCATCCAATCCGCATAATACCTGCGTTTTCATAAGCGCAGAAACATTCAGTATGGCTGACTGAACAACGGTTAACATAGTTATGCTCACTCTCATGACTAACATGTGGAACAGAACATAAACTTTCGACATCATGATAAACGCTAGCCACTTAATTGTCTGGATTGTTCACTTGCCAAGGATTTTCCAGGGCGATTTCTCTTCCGATGCATGGTCCCAGGTGGTCACACGAGGAACAATGGTTGAGTATTGTATTCCAAATCTCGAACTTTACACGTTTTATAGGTACTGTAAGAGGCTAAGCTTTGGTAACTTGTGATTCAGTCCTTACCACCGAAAAGGAAACGTACTCAATAATTTGCTCCACTAACACAGATCCGTATCAACAAATCAGTTCGCTCGGAAACTGCGCGCGCACACAAACTACGAATGAGCTCATGGATGGACTGCAGCTTTATACTGCAATGTACCGGCTCTCTAAGCGTCGTGATAGTATCGGGCAGCTGGTCGAGATGGGATCATGTAAGCTACCGATCGATTTCAAGGAGTAGAATGTAGGTGGCAAAAGGGATAGCGGCAGCCTCTCATAGTATGGTGAGCAATACGATGGAATTTACATAGTGACTCGAATGGGGAACGAATAATAATACTGAAAGATCCCAATCACGCATGCCGCTACCTTTTGAAACTTAGCCAGAACCCCAAGGTGCGAGGCAATAGCCTACAATTAGGTCAACAGTACGGTCATCTAAATCAGGCATTCTCAAACTTTATTCAACCATGATCCCTTTTTACACCTTTGCAGTTCTCATGACCCCCACACTAGATCACTAACATTTCAGCACTTCACAAAGCCAGACGTCAATCTGTGATGCCCCGTGATTATACTTGTACTATTATTATTATTATTAGCAGTAACCTTATTATTTGTATTAATAGTATTAGTAGCTTTTGTTACGATGACTAAAAGTTGATTTTGACATCAGTAGTGTTTTCCGCTTAAATTTGTTTTTGAGCTTTCATGTCCTCAAGCGAACGTTCATTACATAGCAAAATCTTTCACTTACCTGTAATTACACAAAAACCATCATTAACATATAAACTTGTATTTAATTGTTGTTAGTTTTTACCTTTAAAACAGGTAATGAATTAAGGGGTGTAGTAAGTTCTTAACAGTCTTTTTGTCGAAATATAAATGCAAGCTTTGAACCTAATGTCCTTGGTCTTTCCTCGAAGAAGAACCCCCGGAAGTCGCCTGGCTCGAGTTCGTCAACACATTCAGTCAGCTGATTGCACAGGCTTCAGAGATAAAAGCTGGCAATAAGTGCAAATCAGTTTCTTTCGTTAGGAGCAGAACTCGAAAATGAATGACAGTACGCAACGCAGCATCGCGAGTGTACAGAGAAGCTCCAGCACCAGAAACTTGGGACAACTACGTAGCCCAACGCAACCCCTGCACTCAACTACTAAGAGAAGACAAAGCCGCCTATCAGCAGAACGTCGCAAAAACATTCAGTGCTAACCACAAGCTGCTGTACAAGCACGTTAATAGCCTTCGAAATGTGAGGCAAGGATTTCCTCCACTCAAGACGGCTGATGGCCCAACAAGAACGGCTGTGGAAGCAGCAAATGCGCTGCAGATGCAATACGCCCCCACGTTTCAAGGAGTCTTGCCACCAAGCGATCTACCAAGCTTTGTCTTCTGCTCGCCAGGACTAACCCACATCAATTTTACCGCAGAGGCTGTACTGAAAAAGTTGACTTCTCTACGCAAACACAGCTCGCCGGGTGTCGACACCATTCGTCCTGAGGCATTGGGAGCAGCAGCAAACCAACTGGCAGGACATTTAGCTCAGTTATTCCAGCGCTGCTTAGACCAAAACCAAGGTCCCGCCATGTGGAAGCTTGGAATAATAAGCCCGATTCACAAAGGTGGAAGCAGAACTGATCCCTCCAACTACCGTCCAGTAACCCTTCTTCCTATACTCTCCAAGGTTATGGAATCCATAGTTGCCGATGCACTGGTGTGCTATCTGGAAAACTGCAACCTCATCACTCCTGAACAGCACGGTTTCCGTCGACAGCGCTCATGTACAACTAATTTACTAATTGCACACACTAGTTGGACCGAGGCAGCTGACGCTGGAGAAGGTGTTGATGGGATCTACCTGGATTTTTCCAAGGCTTTCGATCGTCTAGACCATTGGATCCTACTACCCAAGCTGCAGCATTACGGGATAGGTGACCCTCTTTTAAGCTGGATCACCAACTTTCTGCTTCAACAGCAATTAGTTGTCAGAGTTCGGAACTCTTTATCGGACCCCATACAAGTTGACTGTGGTGTGCCGCAAGGTTCAGTTTTAGGTCCACGTTTGTTTTTGGTGTTTATTAATGACCTTGCACAAGGAATCGTTTCGAACTTCCTAATGTTTGCCGACGATATCAAGATCTGGCGCAGGATCCAAGCGAACGCCGAACATCATCTGCTTCAGAGTGACTTCGATACAGTGTATCAATGGTCGATTCAAATGTTATTGCATTTCAATGTTAGTAAATGCAAGGTGCTTTCTATCCGACATCAGAGCAGCTACTCATGCCGACTCGGAACATATGTACTGCAACAATCAACTCTCGAACGTGACTTGGGTGTCCTGGTTCAAGATGACTTGGGTTGCTCCAGGCAATCCGAAAAGGCCTCGAAGACCGGGAACCAACACGTTGGGCTGTTGAGGCGGGCGTTTGGACAAATAAACAGCTCAATATTTCGACAAATGCTCAGTGCGTATGTTCGCCCCATGTCGAATACGCAATTCAAACCTGGCATCCATGGCTGAAACACGACCTTAATGCACTGGAGCAGCCTCAACGCCGCGCATCTAAGAACGTAACTGGAATGCGCAATCTGTTCTACCAGGAGAGGCTGCGACGACTAGGATTGTTCAGTGGAAGCTATCGCAGGCTACGAGGCGACCTGATTATGACATACTTGATTCTGCGAGACCCACATCATGTGTGCCGCCCTTTATTGCAACTCAGCAGCAATACAAACCTGAGGGGCCACTCATTAAAACTCGCAGAACAATACAGTCGTCTGGAGTGCCGCAGAAATTTATTTTCTATTCGTGTCTGCAACCCGTGGAATGCCCTCCCAGAATAAGTCGTCTCTGCACCGACACTAGCAGTATTTAGAAGACGGTTGGACGATGCACTCATCCACTTACACTTTGTTACTTAACACTACGTCTCCATCCTACTACTGGAGTTTACCATGGAATTAGTTGTTGTTAACTGTGGGTGCTGTGAATCTAAGAGGATCGCAGGACTACAGCGAAGCAAACGATAAGTCCTTATTTTCAAATTTAAAGTATTAACTATGTTACTATCCTTATTATGGTTATTGTTATGTTGATATCCCCACCAACTATCCCGCGGGACTTGTAAAGCAATGCTTCTTAACCCGTATAAATTCATTGTTCATTGTTCATTTTGAGCAGGCCTAAGGATGTCTGGCTCTGGCTTTGGCAGCGAGAGCAGTATATCATCTCTTGCTGTGATGTCCAATCCATTCCTACATTTGCTTAGAGAAACCACTGCTAACTTCGCATTTAAGCAAATATGTGGGTGGAAATCAAGGAAATATACTTCAGCTTTTTCCCACAGTCCGGAAATTCTGTTAGGGGATTCAGTGTATTTGCAAAAATCCTTTTATATTGCGTAACTTTGGATCTTGCCAGTGTGTCACTGAAGCGTTAGTAGACTTTCCTGCATTTGAACTCAAACATTGCAGTGCTGTGCATCGAATCTGCCAAAAATCCAAATTGAGACTTTTAGGTAAATCAGGTCATGAAACCCATCTTCCATTACCGTTCCGAGTTTTGTAAATGACTGGCAAAATCAATCAAGTCTTCATTCCTTAGCTCCTCCATGCCTGTAGCGAGAATCGGGAACTGTGAAAATTCTGGACGTCCGATGTTTTGAGCATACATCTCTAGCCTTTTAAGAAAGGTGATAATGGCTTCTTTGCTTGAGATGAGTTTACTCAACTGCCTTGAAGCGTTTATTTAATAAGTTGCCTTTTTCAAAAAGCATCAGCCAGACCAAACACATCTGGCTTAACTGCTTACAGTATCATACATAATTAGTGCCAGAAAATTGTGATGATTGTGTCCCAGATTGACACAAAACGGCGAGGACGGTTGCTCTTGGAGAGCCATCTTCCCTGTTTTCGTCACACAACTGCTGAGAAAGACGGTCTTGGAGTGTGCAAAATGATATTGTTGACGACTATTATAACAGTAGACAGTGAATGGTTTAAGCGCCATCCCACACTCTTAAACAATAGGTGCTCTCGATGAAACACACAGGGAAATGTATGAATAGAAGGAAAAACAGTTTAGATAGGCAATAAATTTTTATGTCTTCCGATCATTGCGGCAGCACCATCTGTTACATTTGCAACCATGTTCTGCATTGTGATGGAGTTCTCAATCAGACAGCCATTTACTACAGAGTGGCCATTTGTTGCAGTTTTTATTCCCTTGGAAAACAATATCTCTTTTACTAATTCATTAGCATTGAAGAATCGGACATATGTCACGAGAAGAGCGTCGTTATCAGGTAAGGCAGATTCCCTTACAAGTAACGAAAAATTTCTAGACTTTATAAATTAACTAAGGCAATACGATGTCGTGAGACACCTCATCTATTAAACTGAATACAGTTGAGCGAATGGCTTGTACTGCTTCTTGATTATCGATGTTCATCGGGTCCGACAGTATTATTGATACTGAAAAGAAGCTAATATTGTTACATTCATCGATGATATTGATTAGTTAGTTCAGCCACACCGCGTTCTTATTGGTTTGCCTCTCATGGACCAATCACAAGTTCCTCACTCATGCTTTAACTCGTGTGTCGTGTGAGCCATGTTGCAGTGCTTCGTCGGATACACTCTGTCTCGTACTATGCCTTGTTCTTGCCTAACTGCGGTCTGGGGACGTGTTTGCTTCAATTCCTTACTACGTATTATTGGCGACGGGATCCAGATGAACCCTATCATTAATCCACTCGCTAACTTTTGGTCTTCCGCTGAGAACAAACGGACCTTATCAAACTGGATGAGGTGGAAGCAATCTTTTATTAACTATCTGAAACTATAGCCTGTTTTCAATCCCATGGTTTCACTTTCGGAGTCTTTCAAAATAAGACTATTCAGACAAGTGCTGGGTGATGAAGGCCAGCGGGATTATAATGCACTACATGTGAAAAATTGTGACACTATTACACCGGCCTTGGATAAGTATACCACACTGTGGGGATTGAAACAGAATGTTTATGCTGCGAGATACAGCTTTGCAAGCTTGTACAGAAACCGAACGAGAGCGTCAACGACATCATTGTACACATCAACCAGTTTACTCCCGAGTTTAAATACAACGAATTTCTGCCCAACAAATCTGAAGAAGAAATGAAAACACAGTGTTTAATTAGGAGGCTTCTGGACGAAAATGCACGAGAAAAATTGTTATCTTTGAACGAGTCAGATACCACGGGGAAGAATGCTTGTCTAATCGTTCGCCAAAGGGAGGATATCTCGCACCAGCTACGTGAATTCATTACCCATCTAGTCGTCGATGCTGTTCACGCAGTTGTTAAACCATGGACTCCAGATAAACCTCGAAAACAGTTCGTGTGCCATCGCTGCGGGATGCAACACGTTCGTGTTTCTGAGTGTCACCACAAAGAAAGCATCTGCCGAAAATGTGGTAAAATCGGCCACCTAGCCTGCGTATGCAGATTGGAACCCGCACCACTGATTAATCTCACTGAATCGAGGCGCCATACTAAACTGCCGCTTACGGAGAAAAGGGTGCTGGGAGACCCAGACAACGATCTAAATTCCGTTTACTTGAATACCGTAACACCCAAAAAGTGCCCTCCATAGAAAATTCGTTTGATGATTGAGAAGGAACCGATCGATTTGGAACTGGTTACAGAGGTTGCAGTTAGCATTATGAACAGTGATTCAATTAAGAGTCTGCCGCCCTTATAACCATGTGACTCCAAACTGCAACTCTACACGGAAGATCCAATTAGGGTCTTGGGAAAGTACATGGTTAAAGTCAGGCATGACGAACGGGAATTAACTCTACCTTTGATCGTGCTAACTTGGAAAAGACCAAATGTCTTGGGCAGAAAGTGGATCCGATACTTCTCAGAAACGATGCAGATTAATGAGGTTTTGATCAATGACGGCAGTCTAAACGATCAGTTGAACTATTTTTCTTCTTTATTTGTAAATAAGTTTGGAAATCTGAAATATTTCAAAGCTTCCATCAATCTACAAGAGAACATCAGTGCCAGGTTTTACAAAGCACGAAAATTACCGTACGCCATGCGTCCAGAAGTTGAAGTAGAACTAAACGGCTACAATCCGAAGACGTAATCCTGCTCGTACAACACTCTGATTGGGTACCCCAATTGTTTCTGTACTCAAACCCGACGGTACCGTTCGTATCTGTGGAGACTATAAGTTAACTGTAAATCAAGCTAGCAAGTTGGAAAGCTATCGCTTGCCCCGCATCGAAGATTTGTACGCTACGTTATCCGATGGTTAAAAATTTCTGAGCTTGATCTTAGTCACGCGTATTCTCAAGATGAACTTGATGAGGACCCACGCGAACGAACCACCATAACTGAACATCTTGGACTATTTCAGTATACCCGTCTTCCTGTCGGAATAAGCTCCGCCCCCAACATCTTACAGCGACTTGTGGATGACATCGTGAAGGATATACCTTTTATTTGTGCTTATTTGGACGATATTCTGGTTTCTGGCTGAATATTTAAAGACACTTCGGACAGTGTTGTAACGTTTAAAATCGAATGGATTAAAAGTGAAGAAACCTAAATGTGAGTTTTTGTCTGAACCTGTTTGTTATCTTAGCTACAAACTTGATAAGAGAGGTCTGCATGTTTTGCAGGATAAAGTATCCCCAATTATACAGGCAACGCAACCTAAGAAGGTTGTTGAACTCCGGTCATTCTTAGGAATGTTATCACACTATCATCGTTTTTCACCGGAGGCATCAGCTATTTTAGCTCCTTTGAATGCACCGCTACATAAAAGCACCGCGTGGGTGTGGAATGATGAGTATGAGTCCGCTTTCATTCGTGCTAAAACGTTTCAGCATCATGCCAGTTTTAGTTCACAGGATAGAAAAATGCCTTTGATCGTTCAGTATGACTCTTCTCCATAGCTAGTTGGAGCGATTTCGTGCCATAAAATGCCAAATAATGCAATTTATCGAATTGCTTTTGCTTCGCGTGCCTTACAACTGGCTGAAAAAGTTACTCACAACTTGATCGAGAGGCCCTATCAGTTAACTTTGGTGTCAAAAATTTCACCAGTATGTTTGGGTCAGTCATTTTGAGATCCAAACTGATCACAAACGGTTGATATCCTTTTACGATGAATCCAAGGGAATCCATCAAATGTTTTCACCTACAATGCAACGTTGGACCCCAGTCCTTATTGCGTATGAATGCAAAATCGCTTACATCTCAGGCTCTAACAATTGTACGGCAGATGCCCTGAGTGGGTTACCGCATGCCACCCCCGCAGCACCAACAGGTGAACCGGTGGAGATAGTTCATTTGAGGCGGCACTGGACACTAATTATTTGGCAAGTGACGTTATACGTCGACTGACCGATCGGGATCCCAAACTAGCCTCCGTGATAAGTTTCACGAAACTAGGCTGGTCTAGTAGAATTCCGACTGATCTGAAACATTTTGGCTTCGGAAAAATGAGCTGAATGTACAGCACAGTCGCTTATCTTGACCTCACGTTTGGTTCCACCATCGAAAGCGCGCTTCTTCACTCTACTTGAACTGCACAATGGACATTCAGATGTTGCCCGAATGAAGGCACTTGCACGCAGCTATTACCGAGGACCCGGCTTAGATGATAAAACTGAACATTGTCTGAAAACGTGTGATCTCTGCCAACAACATCAGCAGAATAAACCTCCAGGTCCAATCCACAATTGGCGTTGGCCTGAATGGCCAAGGCAGTGTAACCATGCAGAATATTTAGTCCTATGAACGGAACATCTTTGCTGTTGATTGTTGATGCCAATTCAAAATGGATTGCAGCTTATACAGCGTCTCATCCCACCGTTAAAATGACCATAACAAAGAGGCGATAATCTTTTTCGGTTTTTAAAACACCCAGATGATTGTACACATAACGCGGCTGATTTGTACAGGTAAGGAGTTTGTCAGCTCTAGCAGAGCAATGGCGCTCAACTCGTGCGTAGGGCTCCATATGATCCTGCGTCAAAAGAAAAGCCAAAAAAAAGTGCAGACGGAAAAAATCTGTTAAGCAGTAACCGGGAACCGTAGACAAAATTATACTAATTTACAGGCATGACATCTCATTGCACCAAGCTTTAAGCGATGAACGTTTTCGAAATCGCGCTGTGCATTCAGGTTCGCGAGGCTAAGAACGCTGTTTTAGTCTCTTTGACACTCTCATTGGTCATAGGACGTTAGCCAATGGGACACCGATTGGAATCCCAGAGCATAAGCGACAGACACTCCAATGAAAGTGGTCGAGCACCACCTTCTGTGCTGCTCTGATGCGTATCGGAAGGAAACCCCGATGATTTCTCTCCAAACTGAAATCGTCCAATGGGCAAATTGTGATGCCTGTCTAAGGAGGAGATTTTAACTAACACATGATCCGAAGCTTACGCCGTAACCAGTGCGGACAGACATACAAGCCACCACGTGGAGCAGTCTATACTTATTGATCGTTGGCCGCTACCTGGTGGTGACTTATTTCAGCGGCCTAACCATGGTTACGATGTTGGCGCAGACAGGTATTCTTCTAACTGTTATTCCGCAGCCCCTTAGATCTGAGGGAGTCAGGCAGGCCTGCATTTGCGGTTTGTGGTTAGGACACTGCACACCCTAGGCTGAATCAGCAATGGCTGCTAGGTGATTGGACAACTTTGTGCGATGGTTATTGCGACGACCATGGGGGACATTGTTCCCATTGAGGTAGGTAGACCAACCTGAAACTGAACAACGAATGTTCTTATTGGTGCTTACTTCTATCACAGTTGATGACCAAACATAAATTAAGATGATTCCAAGTGTGGCGGTGACCCGACATTAGTGAGTGTTCGTTTGTCTTCACACCCATGGGCGACTTTGCTAATCAGTTATCGCTTCAGTGTCAACCGGTATGATGTGATTTAAAGGCCATAGGAAGGAGGTGGAACCTATATATTCATAGGATAATTAGGCTTTAATTTCGTATGGTCGCCCATACCTCTTGGGACGGTTTGACAAGTGGCTCTACAAATGGCACCATTACAAGCATAGTCAATGCCGATGGAACCTCCCTATTACGTCCATGGATTGGAATGCCATCCACAAGCAATCAGCATTACTCAACAACGAAACAGCTAAAGGGGCTACAAAGACTACCGTATTTATAAATGCCACATCGTCCTGCAAGAAAAACGCAAAGGGCAATAATTAGTGGCGGCGCACGCTTTTTACTCTGGTAGTTCAGGTGAATAGCTGGAACAGACAAACACTGTTGTCTCACCCACGGACGTTCCTGCAGCAAGCTTGCAATTATTTACAAAGGCCACTG